CACTTTGGACGTCCAGAAAGTTATTAACACAAGCTCTTAATCCATTAAGACCTTCTTACTCCATGTATGAGACACATTTAGTATTGGGACATCAATTTTATCACTTAGGACCTCTTCAAGGGTCTGAAAGGACAACTCATCTCGTCCAACTCATATCATGCACCAACTTGGGACTTTTAGGAGAAGAAATGGTTCCATAAAGCTAGAATGGCAAGATCTATATCATAAAAGCATAAAGTTTGAAACTTTTTACCTTCTGGAGCTTCTAGGGCACCAAACAAATTCAGATCTACAAGCTTGTTCTTCTTCTCCAACTTCTTGATGCAACACCTTCTTCTCCAACTACTTAAAATACACTCTATAAGCTCACACACTCAAGGAAAGGATTGGGGTTTGGGGAAAACAATTCTAAACTGTGGAGGCGGAGGTAAGGGAGGGTTACGACTCATGTCACACCCCCAAACCAGAACGGCGAAAACGTGCGGGGGCGGAGGACGTCATGTTCAATATCATAACAATGCACAATAGTAAAACAAGCAACAACATCATCAATTGCATTAATAATATAGTTAATACAAGTGTGTTCTGAATGTATTTTTAAGACACCAAAAATGTATATATCAAAATAAAAGACGAGTCTTGAACATGCTCCGTCTTCTCAAAACCTGGTCCAGTACACCTGTCTACTGGTGACCTGAGAATACAAGTTATTTTGAAAGAGTAGATCAGCATTAAAGCTGGTGAGTTCATAAGTATTTTAGTGTCAAGTGCTTGCTTAAGTTTGAAAATGTTTGTAAGTGTTTGATGTAAATGTTTGTATACTTCCTAGAAAATCCTATATTTTCTACTAAACTGGAAAGTAGTCTTCTACCAAGACTCGATTGTTTTGTATGTTTGTTCTTTTGTAAAAGTGAGTGTTTTCTCAAGTTTATGACTATCATTACTAGAAAATAGATTACATTACCTTTTATGTGAGAATATCACTATATGAATGTAATGGGAAAATGAAAGTGTACAGTAATGTTGTATAAAGTAACTACTAAAGCACTAACTACCTTAAAGCCAATTTGTTAATTAAGGTTAAAATGTGATGTGGTTATAACCATACTGATTGACGAGTATTTAACACGACGACCTGCTGGCGTCGAAACTGATGTGACATTTGTCACCCCTTGGCTTGTCTGCCTGACTGTAGCTAACAGTTGGGATGTGGGATTGTCAGTCCCGTATAGATCTATACACAAAATGCCTGCTCTCTCTCCAGGAGACTCTGGTTACAAAACGCGACATAAAAAGTATATTGCTATGCCGTGAAGTAGTGGTTTCACATTAATGTTATCTTGTTCTTGTAAATGGATGTATTTTCCTTTATGTTCTTGTTATTGTATGTTTCTTCCCGTTCTAGTAATATTATGTTTCTTCCTGTTCTAGTTATAGTATGTTTGAACTAACTCATGTATAAAATGACTCATGTAAGAACTAACTCATGTAAGTACTAATTCATGTAAGTTTCATTGTTCTAGAAATAGTAAGTAGTAACCTTCTAAACTATACCTATTATAGTTTCCTAGTAAGCTCTGTAATTGAATGACTGATCATGTTTGTACACATTTGCTACCCAAAGGTATTGAACTGATTAGAAGTACTTTTATATATACATACATATACATAATATATAACTAAGATTTAAACGACATTCGGACAAACAACCGATACCCTAAGTCCACATCCAAACAAGGAAAAGGAAATAAAGCGAATTATCAATCCTAAGCCCTTTAAACCTTATTTATATAACTATATGTATATAGACATGATTTTGACAATATATAAGTTTAAAAGAGTTTTGTAAAACAATCTAAAGAGTTTATCATGTAAAAAGAGTTTTAACCATTTGAATGATTATTGATGATTTGATGTCAGTTTATAAAAGGATTTGAAACAGTTTGTTTGGTAACACGGTTTTGAAGTATAAGGAATCTCTTGGTTTAATAGTTATAAATCACATGTGATTGATTTTCCAACTATATTGTTTTCTACTTGTATTCCCCCCCCCCCCCCCCATAAAAGCATTTAAAATCATTAAAAGGTAAATTTAGGGGTATGAACTCACCTGTAGTGAGTGATTCGAATGAAAGATCGATATAGGATGCTAAGAATGCCAAGTGAAGTCTTGAGCACAAACAGATCCTATTAAGCATATAATGACACATATATGTATATAATTAGTGTATATAACAACTAACATGCTAAGGTAAACAACCTTAGGAACTAGAAAACACTTGTAATGAAGTGTTACAATCACATATGATTGATTGAAGGGAGTTCACGGCCACACAAGGAAGTGTTCACGGCCTTAGGAGTGTTCACGACCAAGAACACTTGAAGTGTTCACGGCCCAAGCTTGGTCTTAAGAAGGGTTTACGGCCATGGAAGGAGGGTTCACGACCATACTTGCATTTATGAAGTGTTCACGGCCCAATGAAGGGTTCACGGCCGTGAACTCTTGAAGATTCATGCATTTAGGTGTTTGTTTCACACTTCTTAGTATCTAATCCTAAGTGTACAAGGCTTATAAACTCATAGAATAACCCTTAGCAAGGCTAAAAGGTAACAGATACAATTCTGACTTTTGATTGAATTGGTTGACTTTACAAGATAGAAATTTCGGGTTGTTACAGCTCATAAGGATGTTTATATAGCACTCGAACCCTAAATACTAGGGTTTCCTCCTGATGTGAATACGCTTAGCGTACACAAGTGTACGCCCGGCGTACTAAGGCGCGCCTAGTACGCTTAGTGTACCTTATGTACGCTTAGCGTACCTTATGTACGCTTAGCATACTAGCCCTGTTCTCAAAGTTGCAACTTTAGCCTTTAGGCTTCTCATGGGTCGACTCTTCTAACCCCAGGGACTACAAATGAAAAAATAATAATAGAAGAGAGGATTCAGAAATACCTGCAAAATCTCGGGATGTGACAAAATGACTGCAACATTATATGGGAACTCTCATTTAATTAAGTTGAGTATTTAATTAATATACTAATAAAAATCCTATAGTGCCCTTAGAGAATGATTGGTCCGCAATCATTCTTGCGTTCTCAACCTTGTTACGTTCTCAATATAACATCTCGATATATATGGCAATATCAAGAGTCTCAAGGTGGAAAAGAAAACATGATAAATCTTATAAGGGTAATGAGAAACGACATTTTATGACGTTTTTTTTCATTCAATGTGAGAGGAAATGTCGCATCATTAAAGGTAAGCTATGGTGATGTTTAATTGTGTTGACTATAACCCACAAAAACTGTTACTATATGTAAAAATCGTCACCATTGTGTACTACTTTTTGTAGTTTTTCAATCATTTTTTGATAATTGTCACCATAAACTACTTCCCCTCACAAGTTGTTTTGTTTTCATGACTATTGTTGACTTTTAGTGAGACATGATAGATTAAAGTGTGACCATAAACTACTTTTAGTCGCGTTTTTTCATTTCTCATTACTATTGTTGACTTTTATTGACATGTAATATGTTAAACCATGACCATAAACTACTATTAGTCACATGTTTTTTAGTTTGTCATGACTATTGTTGAATTTTAGTGACACGTAATATATTAAAACGTGACCATAAACTATTATCAATCACATGTTTTTTCATTTGTCATGACTATTATTTACTTTTAGTGACATAATATATTAAACCGTGACCATAGAAAATTTTTAGTCACACATTTTGTTTGTTTTTCATGACTATTATTGAGTTTTAGTGACACATAAAAGATTAAGGTGTTACTATTGTTGATATTTAATAACATTTTTTTTGTTTTTCATGTCTATTGTTAAACAACTTAAAATCATTTACATGCAAAATATTGACCAATTAACATCATGTACATTACTCTGATAAACAAGTTAAATTAATAAACAAAATACAACATTCACATTCACATATAGAAAGTATGTTTACAATAACAATTTTGATAAATCATTATAAGAAGTCATCATCTCCAACTGTCAAGCCACCACGTGTACAAATGCAACATTACCAATGGACTCAAGTTCATATACACCATCCTCATTAGTCCCTTTAATAAACACATCTACATGAATAGAAAAAAAAAATCATCAATTCACATAATAAACATTTTTTACCTTTTACAAATAATACATACAACATACTTTATCTTTTACACATCATCACTTCTTAAAGAAAAGAAATCATCTCTTTTAACGAATATAGGCAACATACTTAATCATTTACACATAATAGCAATATACTTACATTTTATACTCAAAACAACAACCTACTTTCTAACTCTTTTCCCAAAGAATCATAAGCAAAAGCACAAAAAAAGGAAAGTTTCTTACTATCAATCACTTGCTCTGTTTGTACAAATACCAAAGTCGGCATTAATGAAAACAAGGTACATAACAACTAACAATAGAAGATATAAAGAATTTCCAATGAGTTATATACCTTCACCCTTCCTTGTGGTCTTTATACCCAGAACCCATCCGTAAACGTGAAACATGTTGAAATAAGAAGAAAAAATGTTAAGAGAGTTGATTGAGCATCATTAAATTTGATTCTTAATAACTAATACTCCCTCCGTCTCAAAATTATGGTCCACGTTTGACTTTTTAAGTCTCTTTTGTTCAACTTTGACCTTAAATAATTTACTTTTTGTTATATAATTTTTTATGCAAGATATATGAATAGATTGCTTTTTAAAAGTATTTTCATTGTTATATGTTTCATCAAAAATTATATAACACAAATAAAGTTATTTATGGTCAAATTTGACATAGAAAAACTTCAAAAGTCAAACATGACCATAATCTGCTTTTATTCACACGTTTTTTCATTTTTCATGACTATTATTGACTTTTAATGACTCAAAATATATATTAAGTTGTGACTATTGTTGACATTTAATAGCACTTCTTTCGTTTTTCATGACTGTTGCTGAACAACTTAAAATCATTTACATGCCAAATATTAACCAATTAACATCATGTATGTTACTCTAATAAACAAGTTAAATTAATAAACAAAATACAACTTTCACATTCACATATAGAATGTATGTTTACAGCAACAATTTGATAAATCATTACAAGAAGTTGTCATCTCCAAATGTCAACCCATCACGTGTACAAATGCAACATTACCATTGGACTCAAGCTCATATACACCATACCCATTATTCCCTTAAATAAATGCATCTGCACGAATAGAAAAAAACAAATCATCAATTCATATAAGAAACATATTTTATCTTTTACACATACTATAGACAACATACTTTATCTTTTACACATCATCACTTCATAAAGAAAAGAAATTGTGTCTTTTAAAGAATATAGGCAACATACTTGCTAACTCTTTTCCAAAAGATTCAAAAGCAAAAGTACAAAATGGAAAGTTTCTTACCATCAATAAAAACAAGTTACATAACACCTAATAATAAAAGATATAAATAATTTCCAATGATTTATATACCTTCACCCTTCCTTGTGGTATTGATACCCAGAACCCATCCCTAAACCTGAAACATGTTGAAATAAGAAGAAAAAATGTTAATAGAGTTGATTGAACATAAACGAATTTTATTCGTAATAAATATTAAAAAAAATACATCTCATAAACATTAAAATGGATGTATGGATCATTTGCTTCAAAGGTCATTGATGTGAGTTCTTGTATAGAATTAGCTAAACCATACCACTCCACAAGCTGTTGCAAATGTAAGTCGTGGATGTAATTTGCATTTTCACACAAAACAAACAAAAATCAAGTTTTTTGAGTTTAAACAGGAAGTAAATCCAACCCATTATCCGGATTCATCAAGTAGAGATATTAAAAACACAAAAGTACCGGAGCAAGAGCATATCCACTTACTCATCTTTTTAAATTTACCAAATCATTATGAACAGATCCACCATAAGCTTGAGTTGCAAATGAAAGAATATGTTTACCACCATCAATGGAAATTCCAAGCTCAATCATGGTTTCATCTAAATTAGGGCTTAGAGATGAAAATCAGTAACATACTACCTGGAGTGGAATCGTGCTCAATGCAATTTCTGATCTCAAAAACGAAGTAGACCAAGGAACTGTTTGGGAACTAGGGGTGACGATTAAAATTTGCACAGGCTATGATGGATGTGTTTAAAATTTGACTGAACATTTGCAGATAAAACGCTTGAGTTGAAATCCGAAGGAGATGAGAGATTTGTACCTGGATTATATTGTTTCACCTTCTTGGCTCTAAAAACACCGTTTCTCTTTTTTTTTCAAAAGCCCTAAACATTAATACCACATAAACAGATTGCAAGGTACATTACAAAATTGTAGAAGAAGAAGCAAAATTGGAAGGAGATAAGAGATTTGTACCTGGAACTTGACTGGAATTGGTGGGTAGAGAGAGATAACGAAGCAGGATACACTGGGTAGGCAAAGTGGGGGTAATACGAGGGAGGCGGAGAGGAGGTAGCGCCAGTGAAGCGCTAGAGAGAGTCGAGAGAGCCCTTCAGTTAATGAAGATAATGTACAATTGTGCCTATATTTATCGTTTAACATGCCCTTCAGTTAAAATCTACAAGTCAAAGAAAGATTGACGATAAATATTCAGGTTTATGAATGTTTTGTCCGAAAGTTTATTTTGGTTGATTATTGGATTACCGACACATGGTGTTTTTATATTAGCACATTGTTCTACATGAATTGTGACTTTGCATTTTAAGTATATTTGTATTCTTTTTCTATTTCAAGGCAATGTGAGTTTTACAACATATTAGAGACACTTGAATGAATTTTGATAAGCATGCGAGAACTGCAACACATGCACAAACTTGCTATGGACGATTCAAATTTATTGGTAAATATCCATTAATTTTCAATCATTAATTGCCAGAAAGGCATAGTATTGAATATTTGTCGCAGTATATTTGTGAATTTGATATAAGTTTGAAAACTGGTGGTGGATTTATGAACTTACCAAATTAACTATGGGTAATGTAATAATTGTATAAGGCATATCTTGCATCTTTTGCATGGTACTACACTATGAGTAACGCGATGAAACCCTAGATTCCTTGTCGAATACGACATAACTTGCCACTAACGCTCCATATTCATCAACAAATAATCAGGGGATAATAATAATAAAAAGTGGTAAAAAATCAACACAATTGTAAGGGTGTTCTTCTACTACTAATCATTTTACCCGAAATCAACATCCAATACAATAACAATATGCAGGTTTTCTCACTACTACAAAATGAGTGTAATGCAAACTTTTGGAGACAACTTTTTAGTATAATTTGTAATTTGTAACGTCCCAAAAATACTAAGTAAAAGTTTCATTTTTAAACAACCCAAAATATTCATTCATTCATTCAAAGACAAACAAAATGTATCATATTGTCAAACATCAGAGTGAATCGTAAAAAGATAGTGCAAAATAAAGCTCCTGGGGGATGGGGGGATGCAGTGCTATCAAGCCGGAAACTCCCCTTTGGAACGAGAAGTACCTAAAACATTTAAAATATGAAACCGTGAGCATAATTATACTTAGTGAGCTTCCCAAAATACCACATACGAATACGGGCCTCACCTTACATACATAACGGGCATCGCCCAACATACATAACTGGCCTCGCCCATCATATCTCACCCAACGGGCCACGCCCAATAATAAAACGAGACTCATCCACCGAGCTTCGCCCAATAATATAACGGGTCTCATCAAACGTGCCTCGCCCAATAATATAACGGATCTCACCCAACGGACCTCGCCCAATAATACAACGGGTCTCACCCAATGGGCCTTGCCCAATAGTATAACAGGTCTCACCCAATAGGTAGAGGCATAATGGAGGCAGAGACTGCAGTGGTAGGGTGGAGGTGTTAGTGTTGGTGCTGCTGATGGCAGTGTTGCTCGAGATTGTAATCGTGTATGGGGAGCATTGTAGGTTGTAGACGACGTGTATGTGGGTTGGAGTCGGAGGTAGTGTAGGGCAATGCTGGAGGTAGTGTGTGGAATCATTGGCAATTGTTTCGTTCCAGGGTAGAAGCAAAAACAGATCAGTCATCGATTAGGGTGTGTTAAGGCGATTATGAGGGAAAGCCAAAAGAAAGGGGGAGAATTTGGGACTTTTGAAAATTTTAGGAAATTTGGAGGCTTTCAATATTTTTAGGAATTTGGGTGGTTGAAAACATACAATTTGAAGAGATAGAAAAAATTAACTTCCTCACTATCACCATAAAACAGTTATAGGTGTGTTTGGCAAAAGTAGTTGTTAGCTGGAAGCGGGTAGCTGCTAGCTGGCAGTGGGTAGCGTGTAGCGGATAGCTGCTAGCATGAAGCTGTAGCTTTTATTTGTTATATGAATGTTTGGCAAAAATAACTGGAAGCATTGGAAATATATAAAATTGCATAAAAGGACAATTGATTAAAAATAAATGAATATATAAATATATTTTTAAGGGTAATTATGGAAATTAATTTCAAAAGCTTAGTAGCGTTTTGTTAAACGCTAAATGAAGTAGCTTTTAGAATTTGAGCGTTTTGTTTAAAGTAAAAGCTAAACGCCCGTACTGTCAAACGAAACTTTTTGTTTAAACTGGAGCGTTTTGTCAAAAGCTAAAAGGTAGAAGCTCTCAAATGCTTCCAAAACCTCCATGCCAAACACGCCCATAGTTACATATATTTTTTTATTGTTACTATTTTTTACTTTTGGACACACATAAAAATTAAAAGATCACTATAAAATACTTTTAATTACATGTTTTATTTTTTCTAATGTCATAATAAAATATTTATAGTCACATGTTATTCTTTTATATTCAAAATCATTAATTTTAAACATACATATGAAATTAAACTGTTATCATAAAACACTTATTGTCACATGTTTTTTCAAATGTCATAATAAAATACTTACAATCACAATGATCTAAAGTGACTATGGGCTAATATTTGTCACATATTTTTTATGTAAAACAATGACAAAATGTGTGAACATAGTTTGCAATGGTGACCATTTTTAGTTAATATGTAACTAAAACATGACAGGAATTTGATTAATGACCTTTGGTGATGCAATTAACCAAATACGTGACAACCATGTTTCCAAAACACGTGGCCATAGGGCATTTTTGCACTAGTGTGAGGTGTTTCTTTGTTGCATCCGGTCTCAAAGTGAACCTGGCTAAAAGTAAAGTCATGCTAACTCGTGTTGCTAACTCGTGTTACAAACTTGGAGATTAAAAAGTTGCCTACTTAGTTGGCTTGCGCCATCAATTTGTTTCTTTTTGTCCTATCATGGTGTTCCTGTGGGTGCGAAGATGACGAGAATATCATTTTGGAAAACTATATATTGTTGCGAATTCTCATTCTAAATAGTTTTGCGGGAGGTCCGACAAATGACTTTTTAAGGTTGATTAACCTTATGCATTAGTGCTTATGGTAGCCTTGGAACCTAGTTATCCTCTCTTTTCAAGGTGCCAAATGAAGTCATCAAAAGATTGAGAACATCCTATTGTAAATTCTTTTGGTTTGGTTCGGATGACAATAAGAAAGTTACTTGTATTGCTAGGGAAAATGTTTTACATACCATGGAAAAAGGTGGTTTCAACATTGGCAGATTATTTAATCTCGCTTTATTGGGAAAATGGCGGTGACGGTTCTATGCTGACTAATGGTCTATCCGGAAAAAACTTATAACGACACTATGGAGAGAGACTAAATGATGGATTGTAAAGCGACATTTGGGGTAAAATCATTAATCTTCAGACTATTTGAAGTTTTTGAATTTGGACTTTTTTTCCATGTTTTCTATCAAAAACAATAGGTCAAGATGGCTTGGAATCAAGGATGGCAATTTCTCCGCATCCTCCATCAGGTTCATAAATGATGACGTTTTGTCAAAATATAATACTCGCAACACTATTTAAAATCTCATTGCATTTGCCAAGGAAAGCATCTTAACTTTCCGTCATAGGCTGGGTCATCTATACACTAGATTGAACCTCCACAGAATTGGGATCCCTTTGCAATCACCTGTATGCACCCTCTGTGCGGCTAGCAATGAATTTGAATCACACTTATTTCTTGACTACCCTTAAGTCATTGAGGATTTTGCGTTCAGTTTTGGTGGGGCATCCCTATTCGGTAATAAGATCAAACATAACAAGATCAAGCTTCCAATCACCTCTGATCTGATGGCCCTGTTGTGGATAATGTAGATATGACCACGAGGTCACTTCATAACTATCAAACTGTAGTGATAGGATCAAACTCCCGAATCACATCCACGAACTCCACCACCTATATTCACAATTGGACCACTTCCATAAATTCCCAATTTACTAAAATACCCCAGAAGTCAAACTGGCCAACCCTTTGTCAAAGTCAAAGTCAACGGTCAAGGTCAACAGTCCATGTTGACCCAACTCGTCGAGTGTAGCTCACTGACTCGTCGAGTCCTTTCAGAACTCGAGAAATCATGAAAACTCTAGTTGACTCGCCGAATTTCCAGACAACTCGTCGAGTCCATGCGGTGTCCGAATATCGGGAAAACCCTAACTGACTCATCTAGTCGTCTCACTAACTCACCGAGTCCATGCATAAACCATCAACGACCAATCTTCATCGGACTCGTTGAGCTGACCATGCAACTCTTCGAGTCCCCTCAGTCCATTTCTCATTTAGACGTTTTTAAGCTACCCCAAACCTCTAATTTGTAGATCTAGCTTCCTAAGGCACAGATTCCACGTAAAGTTGCAAACTTTACGTGCATGCAAGGTCTTAATGGCTTATAACACCAAAACCAAGTCTAGAATGAGGTTTAGCGCATGGTGAGAGGTCAATACAATATAAAGTTGATAACTTTATGAATTTGGGACCTAGAGGAGTCGAGATCTGAGACCATGTCCTTGTGAAAAGCTCAAACCCAAGGGTGGCTCCATTAAAACCTAAAAATGACCATAAATGTCCATAGAAGAAGATCTAAGTATGAAAGGGTCAAGGTATTAGCTTTTTACCTCAGGTTAGTTGCCAAAACGAAGTAGATGACAAATCCACTTCCTCCTTTTCGATCCAATCTCCTCACTCTTCAAGTTTCCCTTCCAAGATCAACAAATAACACCTTTCAAGCTCTCAACACACACAATGGGGGTTTAGGACTCGATCTAGGGTTTCCTCTGGCTGTAATGACGATAAGGGAGGCTAGAAACGGCCCATAAGTTCTTTAAATATGGGTGCAAACCCTAAAATTTAGGGTTTCCATGCACAGCCTCTACTCGTCGAGTCGGGGTCCTCTGACTCGTCGATTAGAAGTCATAAAATTACACGGGTCTGACTAGGTTCGACACGACGAGTTGGGGCCTCCAATTTGTCGAGTTCCTTCAACAAAATGAATAAAAAGCTTTTAAAATATACCTGGGAGTCGGGGTGTTACAAAAAGTAAAATAGGGAGATTATATTAAAACTACATAAAACGCAATAAATGAAATTTAGAGATCGGATTAAAAACAATATACTAAAGTAGTTTCACTTAGTTTCGAATCAACCCCCCCCCCCCCCCACATTGTGGATGATTTCTCATAAGTGTAATTGATTTAATTTGTTTTCTACCATTTCCAATATCAATTAGTTATCTTAGTCCAATTAAATAACCATAATGACTATAATGACAACCAACGCAATGATCATGTAATCAACTATCAAAATAATATATTAGTATTAAATTCATATTAACATATTTTCTTCCATAAATCCAAACGCGAGCAACCTAATCTTGATGAATAATTAGTTCATTCATATTAAACAAAAGCTCTTCTTCTGGATGCTGAAAATACTTCAAATATGTTCCACCTATTTTCTGATAATCTTTCCCACTCGTTAGCTATCTCTGTGGCCAACATAAACAATATTTTATACAAAAAATGATTTATTAAAATTTAAGGAAGTACTAGTAATATTTGATTGATTTTGACATACTCTCCTAAAGTCTTAACACCATCCTTACCGAGAAGAATGTGATACTAGACAATGAAGATTTACTTTTTGGTAGAAGAAGTTTTTTTTCGAAAGGAAGTAAAATTCTTCAAAACCCAGTTCCTTGCCCAAAGCATCAACCCTATTGCCTTTCTTGAACTTCATTGTTCATGTGTAAACATATTAAGTTTTAAATTTATAAAACGTTTTTAACGAGGGGTGCAAACAAGCCGAGCTGACCCTGAGCCCGACCGGGCTAGGCCTAGGATTGTTTAAGTTATATGGGGCACGAACTCGAGTTTGACTCAATCCGAGCTATATTGAGCTTGGCTCAAGCTTGTAAACAATTATACAAGCTCGACTTGTTTTTTGTCTAACCTGCCTAAATAAGCTTTAGTTCGGTTCAAGCTCGCTAAGAAGCATGTTTAGTAATACCCTAAATCCCTAAATATGTTTTTTTATTTTAATATTAAAAAAAAAATTATATTATATATGGGATCTCTTAGGCTGCAAGCCTAATCAAGCTTAGAGACATAGGCTCGAGCTCGAGCATGTTTAATAAACAAAATTAATATTAAGCTCGAGATCAGATCGGGCTCATTTAAAACCGGTTTCGAGTTGACCTTTCAACGAGCCGATCCCGAGTAGCTCACGAGTAGGTTGGCTCTTTTGCACCTTAATGTTAATAGACTAAGGTCTACTACCTAATGATATAGTATTATAGTTGAGATAAAACCAGATCTCGAACTCTTGGGGACCGAGTATGATTTAATTTAGAATACTTAAATATTAGTTCTACTAAAACAAATAAAGTAACATAGGGAGACTGTGTTAAAACTACCTTAAACGAAATAAATGAAATTAAGAGATTGGATTAAAAACAATATATTTAAAGTACTTTCACATAGATTTCATTAACCCCTCAATTATGGTTGATTTCTCATAAGTGTAATTGATTTAATTTGTTCTCTGCCAATTCCTATATCAATTAGTTATCTTGGTCCAATTAACTAATCATACTTTCCATTTCAAAAAAAAAATAATTAAAATAAAATAAAATAAAACTAACCATATTAATTGACTATAAGGATA